CGATTTCAAGCTTCTAGGGTTCCAAAACACATTGTTGACCGGTGACGAGTTAACTCGTCCTTTCCTGCCCAAACGTTGTTGACCGATAACGAGTTAACTCGTCACAGGACGATATAGAATATGGAGTGTGAAAGTGATTTTGAAAATTAGATTACAAAATAATAGCCGGTGATATGACAATTTCTGTGTAAAATTGTCGGTCACCAAAGTGTTAAATGTAGGCCAAGGGGTTAATGATTCACCACGTGTTCCAAAATTTAAAGAATATTAACCCTTTGCGATCGATGTCCCCGCAGCAAAATACAGAAAAGTACAGAAAATTAGAGAAATTAAAAATTTTGTATATTTACGTATTATAAGTAGTATTAAACACAAATCAGTTTCAACAAATTCTGTGCGTTTTAATATCCATATATATTGACTTTAAATCCTGTACAGAAAAGTAACTGCGAAACGCTAAATTTGCTCTGCCGAAATTTGCCGACCGCAAAGGGTTAAAATTTTACAAGAACACAGGTTTTCTAGAAATTATAAAACCCTTGTTCTTCTGTTTCTTTTATATATCGCGCGCAATTTTATGTTTACATGACTACGTACGTAAAGAACTTCCACCCTATTTATAAATAAATTAATATTAAAATTAAAGTAATATTGGAAAATCGTCGAATAATTATCCAGATATTTTTCAACGTCTCTTTTGCATTGCATATAGTTTTAATAAATTTATCTTTAAATTAATTATTTAATTAAAAAATTCAAATTAATTATCGCATGCAATTTTATATTTACATAGTTACGTACATAAATGGCTTCCAGGCTATCTACAAATAAATTAAATTAAATTAAACGTCGAAATGTAGATTTTTGTGGAATATTGGAAAATCGTCGAATAATTATCCAGATATTTTTCAACGTCTCTTTTGCATTGCATATAGTTTTAAGAAATTTATCTTTAAATTAATTATTTAATTTGCAAATTTTAATTGAGTATTTATCTTTTTTAATTTCGATACAATTTCGATAGCATTCCTTTTGATTCTCTTTCTCTCTCTCTCGGTATATACAAGGTGTCCCGAGTAAAAGCTATCAATGGTAATCATTCCGTGTGATTAACACGGAATAGGGAAATATTTCTGGAATTTACGGTAAATGGCGTCGATGTAGTCGATAGTTGTAACGTGGATAGTTTGGTTGAATCATTTTCAATAGCCGACGAGATGTCTAGCATGGAAATGTACCTCGTATCTGGCATACGATATTCGCTGGTTAGAATAACAATAGAATGGGAATGGTGAACGAGTGGTTACCATATTCGAGCAAAGAATGCTCCAAAGTGGGCCAGAGATAAATAAGCCGAGTAAGAACAAAGATCGCGTCCGAAACGTTTGCTGGCATAGCACGCGACATTGAATCCTGATTAAACAGTCGCTGAAGACGTCCTGGAGGAAATGATACGCGGCCATTGATTCTACTCGCGCCCCATCGGATTTCTATGCAAAAATACTGGCCACTTTCCTCGGGAAGAAGACAAATTTAACTGAACCAGAATTACTAACACTTTTCTTTAACAGCACTGAAACTTAACAAATTTAGTAAAATTAATGTAAATCAAATAAAATTTACATTAAATCACACAAATAATAAAACTATATTTCTGAATAATAAATATGCATCGATAATAATAAAATATATATATATTAACACATTGACTACCACGCAACTTTTCACGGTTCCGGTTTAAGAAGCCAATTAGTTTTAATCGTGTTATATTATTAAAAACTTTATTTATAGTACATAGTAATGATCAAAAAGTTTAAAAAATGTTTTTTCTTTTTAAACAGAACATGTTACGAATTATCTCATAGTTGGCAAGCAAGATTGTTTTAAAAATGGTCACAAACTATAAAAATGTTATTCCGCATGAATAAACTTGTATAAACTTTTTCTTTTTGAATTATGCTACAGTTATACTAGGGGTTTCCTAGCAGCTGTACAAATATGGCAAATAACGAAGGGACGAGATAACTCGTAGTAGGCGTCCTGGGCAAGGAAATAACCTACGAGATATCTCGTAGTTGGCAGTCAACGTGTTAATGAACGGACTGTCCCCCTATAGCGTTTATAAATATAGAACCGTTTAATTGAATGATTATTAAGAAAAGGCGTATAAACTCGTCGTTTATCGGACGATACTTGTATCTGGCGCCTGGGTATCTTTCGAGTCGCGTTTCGCGACGATTCCCGGGCGGTATGCAAATTGCAAATTGTTTTGCAAGACTCCATTGGCTAAACGACCAGTACCACAACGAGATTATGCATTCCGCTTGCGTCAGAGGTCACGCCATGCGTATCTGCTCATTGATAACGCGTCTTACGAAGATACGAACGCTTCAAAGCGGAATGAACCCGGAGCGAAACGCGCGAATCGGCCGATTTTAGAATGGCAAAGCGCGACCGTTCCTTTTTTCGGTTATCCGATACATCCTGAGATTACAAAGATATCCGACATCGCGAATTATACAGTTGGGAAGCAGCGGAACTGTGCAACGTGTAACCGAGTTATGCGTTTTGATCTTCGGGGACAATTAGGACTTGGAAATTTGATCGAATTCGCATTGATTTTGGATCTTTGAGTTTTTCATTTTTTAGCTTTTTAGTTTTTAATTGCTCGAATCTTTAAATATTTGATTTTTTAATTTTTAGTTGTTTCAGTCTTTAAATCTTTGATTTTTTAATTTTTAATTATTTGAATCTTTAAATCTTTGATTTTTTAATTTTTAATTATTTGAATCTTTAAATCTTTGATTTTTTAATTATTTGAATCTTTGAATCTTTCATTTTTTAATTATTTAAATCTTTGAATCTTGAATTTTTTAATTTTTAATTGTTTGAGTCTTTGAATCTTTCATTTTTTAATTTTTAATTATTTGAATCTTTGAATCTTCGATTTTTTAATTATTTGATCTTTGAATTTTTAATTTTTAATTATTTAAATCATTGAATCTTCGATTTTTTAATTATTTGAATCTTTGAATCGTTGATTTCTTAATTTTTAATTATTTGAATCTTTGAATCTTCGAATTTTTGAATCTTTTAATTTTTAATTTTATTTATTTTAATTATTTTTATCTTTGATTTTTTCAATTTCTGAATTTTAGAATTCCTATATTTTTCAATGTTCAAATTTCGGAGTTTTCGGTGTCCTAAATTTTTGAATTTTTACTTCTCTGCAGCTTTGCATTATCAAATTTTGAATTTACAATTGCGACAGATGACAGCGTTCGCTTGTAAACTCGCGCAAATTTATAGATGACAACAATAAGATTATATCACCGCGTCATGTTGTTTAAGCGCTATTACATCACACCATAATCTTTCAATAACACCTCAATTTATTGATAACGCATAATAGAGATTAATAGATATGCTAACAATTCGCAAACATGTATTCTTTATAGTCATCACAAAATTTTGCAATTTATTGGATAAATTACGTTTACTAGATTTGTTACGAAGGGTCGAGCAGAAGGTTATAATCGTTGAAAAATAATAAATGATCGTTAATTTAGTTATATCGTATGAATGATTTTATTTATGGAAGATAACTGAAGAATTGGTCGTTTAGAAAAGGCTCGTTTTACTGACGGTATTTGTACGTTTTATATTATAGGAAAGTTATTTTTTTACACACAGGATAATAATATAATGTAACGATAAAAAATATTGTATATTGGCAGTCGATTATATTAAAAGAATATTAAAAATTGATAAAAGTAAAAAAAAAAAGGAAATGTTAGAGAAAAAAAAACAATCTACAAATCGCAGTCGGTAGGACTCGAACCTACGCTCCCAGAGGGAATCTGATTTCTAGTCAGACGCCTTAACCACTCGGCCACGACTGCTTGCTTGAATGTTAATGGAAAATCTCCAGGTTTTACGTAGTTTCTATAATATGACGCAATAAATTTGAGAATTCTATCTAGTTTAATTAGCAAAATAAATGTACTTGTTAATGTCTTAATACAGTGAGACGTGTATTAGACATAAATTCATGTTTAGAACTATTGCTAATATTATTAAATAATTCGTATTAGTCAGTAACTAATAAGTAAAAGATATTATATATTTGTTATTATTTCTACATATACATAAATAAACAAAGTCTATCAACAAAGGAATAAGAGAACGATGACTTCATTAATTATGTATTCTTGGATCAAAACGTGGTTCTACGGCCCTGATCGTTTTTTCACCTCACATCGAAGTAGGAGAGTGCAGTATATACGAGTGTAATGTATCTGTCATCAGATCTATTAGAATGGCCCCTAATGTAACTGCGTATCTTTCACGAGGAATGCGCAATAGAGAAATCGTAAAGAGAAATTTTTGGAAAACTGTATCAAGCTAGAAAGTGCGTATTAAATTTTGGATGTTCGTAATTCGGACGAAATGTTAAAAGTCCTTTTTAAATTTGGAAGGTATAAAATGAATAGTAGCTTTGCGACGTAAATTGAGATTGACGTTTGTTTTCTCTTCGTAGAACATCATCGATATCATATAACAATAGTGTTTGAAACTGTCAATATCGATTCTGGTAGGTCGGCGTGCGCTTATTTAACACTTCGACGTTGTATCTGATAAATCATGAAATGAAATAAAGTGATTTCGAGATAATAAGTAGATGAAAAGTGGATTGTTCCTTTTTAAAGTAATATTAACGTATTGTAGTGTGAATTAGGTTATGATCATTTTCTAATAGGTAAGACAGGTTAATATGTGACGAAAAGTGTACGTCTCAAGTAATATAAAGAGGATCGGTGAAAAGGGGAAAATAAAAGTTAATTTGTGAAATCAGAGATTGTATTTCAGTGGATCGATACAATAGAAAGATAACTGACAAAGGACGCAATTAGAAATCGAAATTTATTTAGTAGACATTATAATATATTGATTATCTACGTTAATCAAGTACAGCGAAATCAAATGCTTGCTTATTCCGCCAAAAAAAATTTCCTCGAGGTTGCGTTAGTTACTATCGATGTCGAATCTCGTTACATTTTCCTCTCGTATATTCTGCAGTACGTCAGCTTATGAGAATCGAAAAAATGACACACGCTTACAGTATACAGTTTTTCCTGTCCGGTGAATGCAAGTCAGAAGGAAGTTTTACAAATAGAATATGAACACTATATAATTACCATGAAATCTGATCAACAGCGAAGTGCAAAATTTCACTCGCGACAGATTCAGTGGAATGATCGATATATTTTCCGTAACGCAACTTCGCAGGTTATAGAAATCTTTTCACTTTAAAAGCAAATACTACGATTACTCGAAATTGATGTAGATTTTATGGAGCATTATTCAATGATTTTCTTGTATTTTGTATCTGAATATCTAAGCGCCTCCGAAAATTGCATTCACAAGAACCTGTCGAGATAACATCCTAACCCCAAATATTTTTCTCGATTGAACACAGAATCGCATAATCTACTACTCGCGAGTCTAAACGTTACTGAAAATCCCAAAAGCTCTATCGTTCTCATTTCTTCGCACAATTTACAATATATGAACTTCACACAAAGTTCGTCGAATCAGCGTGCATGTTCATTTTCCTCTTATCGATTATCTGAAAGAGATGAAAAACATTAAACGAAGTAGTCATTTACCCCGTTCTACCACCTTGGCTTCTTACGAATCTATTTTTCATCTCATTCAATACGCGATTTTGAAGAAAGAAACACTCCTGACGATTTTATCTTTGAGGTTACTTAACCTTTAACTAATTTTAATTTGCACACGCGTTTTAAGTAACTCGTAGTACCTATTATAATTAGTATAATGTGACCGTATATATGTACAATCTTATAGCTGTTAACTGAATCGATTATTCTGCTTAATCAGAGCGTCGATATTTCTTCTTTTCCGTCATAAAATTGATTTTATTCTATTTCCCTTATCGTAATTGAGATGTCGCGCGACGGACCTCTCGTTCCTATTAAGATTAGTGCAAATCGAATTGCAATAACAGCTAGACAAAAAGTCTAAAGTCGCGCCGCGATTTCGATCAATGATCGATGTCGGTGGCGTTGATCTACAGCGATTATTCGATAATTATTTGCACGATTAGCGATACAAAAAAAGATCTGTCGATTTGTCCGCGCGCGAAAAGAACGATCTGCGATTATTTACAGACACTGAGTTTTTTCTCTCGTCAACCTGCATTCGCGTCTCCATTTTATTCTTTATTTTTTATTTCTACGTATAAATATATGTACCTTTTGTTCGTAGAAGATCGGGTCACGGGAAATCTTTAAATTCTATCGAACGATCAAATACTTCGAATCAAGAAGAAACTTTCCTTTTTCATCATCTTTTTCATCTATCATTTCTTCTTTTTTTTCTTCGCAATTTTCTTCAGCATTTTTCAGTTAAGTGTAAAAATAGATACTTTATCGCCTCCCAATATATCTTTTTCTCCTTCTGCGTCTTTTCTTTTTTTTTTTTTCTCGTCTTCTCATCTAAAACTGAGAAATACAGAGTAGAATAGATAATGTTCAGGAAATGTTCTAAGAATACCTAAATTGTTTTATTACACTTTAAACGGTAAAAGTGATCAAATTTATTTTTTGAAAATGAAATAGTGAACTCATCGTTATTTATCGATCACTAACACGAAGCTATCGATTCATAACCCAACTTTTGTTTGTTATATACCTGACGGATTTAAAGTAACTGAATGTTAATATTAATATCTGATTTGTAAATTTTTCATTAACCTGTCTTTTTCCTGATTAATTACGTCGGAATTTGGTGAGTCATAGAACATCTGCTGAACATGGACGTCAAGGGAAGCTAACTATAAAGTTCTTTGCAGGTTCAGGTAAAAACGCGAGTTTTCTTCGTCCATTCTGATATTTTCCAAGCCCAAAGTTCGCGCTTCAAATAAATACTGGTAATAATCTGCAAAAACGATACGATGAAAATGGTCGATCGAATAAAAGGATCGCGATCGACATATACAATGAATCGAATGAATCTACAGGATTATATTAATTTGAAAATGTTCGAGTATAGCAATTACAATTGGCCTATGATCATTTGAGATAGCAATTTGAAATATTTTCACAAACCATTTGTGACTTCTCGATTTGGCTTATTCTAACCTAAGTTTCGCTCGAAAGATCTTCGTACTAGGACATCTAGCGGTTCTACGTTTGAGTTTGGGATTTTTTTTTCCATTTTCCTTTACAATCGATCCTTAGGTGTGTCTAGTCACTGGTCACGACTTACATTTCGTCTGCGTGAAAAATAGGATTGTTAATCGCTAGAATCGTTCTCTAAACACTAATTGTAAATAGGCTAGTAAGGTTTTTACACCTATGGATAATCGCTATCAATCGATATCGTAATATGCACACACGCAGAAGTGAACCTAGAGCAAACACTATTTCGCTTATGAGTCAATTTTACCACTTAGATCACCATACAATCGTAACTTGTATTCGTATATGTACATACAGGGCAGTAAATGAAATGTACACATGTATGCCGTCACATAGCCCCACGACTTTACGATAACTTGAAATTCTTCGTGGATATGGAATTATTCGAGGGATCGTTCGATCGATGAAACAAAGCGGGCAGTTCGAAGCATAGAAAATAACGCGTTTTATACAATTTTTATACCGTTAAGACTACAATGTGGCGAATGAATTGCATACCATCAAACCATCCCTCGAGATTACAGAAACTTTGTCCGTAATTCGAACCCACGATTGAATAGAATAGTATCCAAATAATACAGTGCAATTAAATATTATTTGGAACAGCAGACAATGGGAATCGTGATTTGAACACAGTATCCGTGTTGGTAATTATATCTAATTTCAAAGAACCGAATAAAGGAACGTTTAATTGAATTAATTTAATGAATTTACTTTTCGAAATACTATTTTACTCCGCAATGATGTTATTTTATTTCGTCCCAAAAATTGCTAATGATCGATACTCGATTGGTGGAAATCGAATCGCTGGTGATCGAATTCGATCACAAGAGCAATCGGAAGTGTCGAACTATCTTATATCTGACGTATGACGAGTGATACGCTGTATCTCAAGTAACTTTATCCTCTATGAATGTGACACGAATTATTTCGTATAACATTTGCAGTTGCCTGCCCGTTTTGAAGTGGATGGAATTTACGAGAGTTAAGGCTCGTCCATTAACTTCCTATAGCTTAATTATGAAAAAGGAGGGAAGAATTTGACATTCGATTAAACGATTTTACCGGAATCGAATAAATCGTTTTTGTTTATTTAAAAACTATTTTCACGCATTTCTGAAAAAATAAAATAATATCGATACAACATTATCGTTAAGGCATAGAAAATAAAATCAACACTCGCATATAGGTCTACGATTATGCTCATGATGTAGAAAAGAGAATAATAATCGATTAAACGATATCGATAAAACACTCGACTAGAAATTCAGATTATTGCAAATAAAAAAATTGTTGTATGTAAATAATTTGTTTTCAATACGTTATTAATAATACGTCCTAAATTAAATAGTGATAATTTGTGATGGATGGAAATGTCTTATTCAAGTAATTTTCTTTGAGCCTTAACTCTGTAGAAATATGAAAGATTACTACGCATTTGATGCACGTAGTATTGCGCTAGAACACGTAAACGCTTAAATATTGCTCTCTTTTTATGACCACCGTCGCGATATTGTTAATTAGAAGCAGTGCCATTTACTATTATGCTTTTCTTCATCCTCCCTCTAACAAGATGACGACGCTGAGATAATGCAAGGGTTTTTCATGTTTCATTCTTCTTTTTTCTTATTATCTACAGACAAGGTACGTTCAGTCGCTTGGCACTATTAAAGAAAAAAGAACAGAAGTCTTAATAAAAAAGAAAAAATAGTATAATTTGTCGTTTGTTTTTCTCTAGTTTTGGCTGTAAAAATTAAATTTGTAATCCGTTATACTTAACAGTTTAAAACTTTTTCTTTTACATCCTTATTCTTCAACAGTTCAACATCCGTGTGAAAGGAAACTTGTGATAGGTGATAAATGAAATAATTGTCACAGAATATGTATATTGATTAAGCTTTCGAGAACATAGGAACTTTGAATAGTATGATTTTTTGAATTTTTTAAAGATTATCTTAATTGGAGTAAAATTAATCAATTATAAAAATGATCTTAGAAACACCAAATTTTGAAATAAACTGAGCATCACTAGTTAATAAAATAATTATACTGATTGATTTTTTATTGGGTACTAAACATTTGAATTTTAAATATTGTGATAGATGATGAGGTATTAGGATAAGTAAAAGCAATGTTTATTTCAAAGGAATTATAACTAAATGCATAGAAAACAACATGAACCAAAGTAAATATACTCTTTTAGGTATATTAAGCCAAGGTATGTATTTAGTAATAATTATTAATTTTCATTTTGTTTGTATAAAAAGGTGCAATGTGGGCAGGTGGCTCAAGTCCGAGTCATTAATATCAGCTATAATTTTGCTTTATTTATACTTCAAATTATTTTAATTTAAAAATTACAGAGATCATGTTTTCGTTTATGAATTGTCACCAATGACAAAAAAAAACGAGAATATGCTTGCGAACGTGTATAATATACGCCTACAATATAATTAAAAAAAAAAATAGAATAGAAGAAAGAAGAAAATTCAGATACAGAACTAAAATATAATCGATAGCAAAGTAAATTAAGAGGGGGAAAAAATAAGTAAGAGATTGGTGTTGTAGTGATGGTGGTAGTAATGGGGGACGAGGTTGGTCGCCATTTTAGGAAAAGTAAAAATTATTTTCACTTTTGTATAAAAAATTCCTTTCATCGACGTTTTATGATTTAAGTAAAGTTCTTCGTTTTCTTATGTATTAACGAATTAGACCTTGTTCGTCATCTCCATTATATAAATAGATGTGCGTTATCGATACTTTAAAACTTTGCTTACTCGTTTACAAAAATAAAATAAAACGCGAGACAATTCATCCTATCTATGAATGAAAAATAAAATTTCCTATCTAATCGAGGCTAAAGACGTTCATTAAGGCTTTAACTAAAATAAGAGAAAAAGGTTTCTGCGAGAGTCGAACCAACAATTCTCCGGTAGAATTCCTGTTGATGATTGCTCACATTTGACGAAACCTGAAATTTTGGTTTATGAATCTTATTTTCACATTTCGTCTTCTCTCTTTTTCCCTTTTCTTTCCTTTCTTTTTTTGTTTTTTTTTTTTACTATTTTTTTTTTATATTTGAATGCAGGAAAAAAAAATGGTGCCTTTAGCGATCGACGTACGCAACACGATGCGTCTCAATGCGTTACTAAATCATATATATCGTTCCTCGATCTTCCAGGAAACGGTCGGTGACGTTGAAATTATTAACTGCAAAACCTGACGTCATTCCTTTTGCTCTCTATCAGTCACACATATATCGCACTCTTTATTAAAAGTATAGTCATCATACTCTCTCGCGCGCGCATGCTTTCTCTCTATTTCTCCCTCTCTTTCTCTCTCTTTCTCTCTCACTCTCTCTCTCTCTCTCTCGTACTTTCTCTCGTTCAACCTATCAAACACATTAATCAAAGTCAGAAAGTTATATATTTCCGTTCAGTGGTATCGATCTACTTCTCTTCTTTGAAAGGGATGAAGATGAAAAGCGATTATAGTATACTCTCGCTTAAGATCGATTCCACTGCCGACCGAAGCAGTGGAATCTCTCGAAGAAAGCGCGTTATGGAGACCCTATTCCGGCTTCTCGAAGGACAGGGATGCTGGTCCTGAAGCAAGGTCGACCTCAATGGATATGCTGGTGGTGGTGGTGGTGGTGGTCGTGGTGGTAGAGAATGAGGAAGGGAGGTGAGCCACATCATGTCTGGCTCTGCTATGTGTCATTTCCCGTTCTGCTGTAGTCCTGCGTTGATTAGTCCCCACAGTTCTTTGGAACAGGATTGAGATCTAGAAAATCTACTTGATTATTGTCGTGAATGCAAACTATCTTAAGTGATAACACATCTTTGCCCGTAATCGATAAATCTTTGCTTTCATTGAAAGAGAGTACAAACTGAAGTATTGTTTCCAGTAAAGTAGGAATTACTTTTTAATAACTTAGTATGAAACAATACCTCTTAATAGATTGAAGTCGCTCCTTAAATTGAACAGGACCATCTGGAGTGATGTGGAACGCTGCTCTTGCTGCGCACACAACGTTGACAAAGTCTTCATACTCGACTGGCATCAAATGATATAACTTCTGATGCATGCACTGAATGTACCTACAATTTGCAATTGAAACCATAATTATTCGGCTTCATTAACGATATTTAAGAAAAGATTATCTAAATAAGAACTCGAAGAAACTGACATTTGTTGACATTTGTGGACAAGGGGTGCCAAAAGAGCAGATCTCAAGTGTTGAAGTACAAGAGCCAGGTTATTTCTAGCCATGTAGAGTGCCGCTTCCAACGCAACATCGTGAAGTACGAACGGACTGGTGATGCTGTTCACTGTACAGATGCAAAGTTGATGAAAATATTGCGTGCCAAGCCGTTTCGACACTCTCAGTAACCATTTTACGTCTTCTCCGTATGGTGGATTTCGCGCATATTTTGTTTGAGGTCTGTCATCGTGCACACGACGAGCTAGGGTCTCCAATGCTAACATTCCTACACGGTATGCTGCTACCAGAGCTCGAAATTGCATCTGACTGAAAGGCTGAGTTTGTCTATGAACCTGTGCACAAAGAAATAACAATGATCATTCACTTTAAAATACGGCATGAATAATTTGCTCATTTACTCACACATAATTTTAAAATACTTTGAAACAAGTATGCCTAATCTCGAATTAGAAATTTAACAAAGATTAATTTACCTGTGGCTGAGTTCTTACAGTGGATATTATTGGTTGCGCTTGAACTAAGGCAGACCCAGGTATACTGTTCTGGCCAGGAATGGGTCCTGTCACTCCCGCTTGAACCTGCTAAAAATCATACTTAACATGAACATTGTCCTATAACTCACTAAAGTATGTTGGGTCAGAACACTTACATTAACTGGTATAGGCTGTTGCATGGTGAACAAATGATGAGTTCCTGGTGGTGGTGGAGGTTGTGATGTGTAGTATTGCGGCAGCGATGATTGTTGCGTGGGTTGTGATGGATGATGAGGATGTTGCGGATGCTGTGGATGTTGTGGATGCTGTGGGTGTTGCGGATGTTGTGGATGTTGTGGATGCTGTGGATGCTGTGGATGCTGTGGATGCTGTGGATGCTGCGGATGTTGCGGGTGCTGTGGATGTTGCGGGTGCTGTGGATGTTGCGGGTGCTGTGGATGTTGGGGATGCTGCGGATGACCCGGATGAGGCGGATATGCCGCATGATACATTTGTATATGCGGTGGTGCTGGTGGTAGAGTTAACCTATGTGATGGCATCGGTCCACCAAACGTTGGAATCGAGTGATGATGATGCATAAAACTGTAAGGACCCACTGCATATGGCATAACTCCTGAAATTCAAAAATTAGTCAAGATTGTTATGATCCATAAAATGTTTCAAGAAAATGTAGGAAGATAAAGCATACCTAATGGTGCTAACGTTGTTGTAGCTGGATGCGTTGGATATGGTTGAGGGGGTGGTTGAGTGCTGGTCACAACAACTGCTTGAGTTGGACCAGGCATCATCTGCCCATTAGACATGTCTACCGAAGGATTGGGTTCCATTGGAAGAACTCCATTGAGATCCAACTGTAAAGAAACGTGTGGCATGTCGTCCTGCTGTTCTCCACCAGGCGTGTGCTAAATATACAAAATTGTAATTAGATTATTTGGTATTTTTCATTGCAGTGCTCTGTTTTTATTTAAAGATATTTACCCTGAGGTACAGCTCATACCAATACTTGGCTACTTGAAATAGTACTTCAGGATAAACGTCACCTCTCTTTGCTATGTTTTCCACTGTGACACAAGCCTTCTCCAACATTAAATCGCTTTGTTCCTTACACTACAAGAAAACGATATATTTTAATTAAAAAAAGATATAAATATTTAACAAAAAAGAAACTTAAAATGCTTACCTGCAAAATGGCTCTCTGTACTTCATTAGGATTGAGCGCGTGAGCGTGTGGCAAACAAGATAAAGCAAGTTCTGCAGCTGCTCGAACCATGTTAGGATCACTACCTCTAGATGACTTGTCGGCTATACCAACAGCCTCAGGTGGTGTCAAATGTCCTTCCCAACTTTCAATAAGAAATGAAATAGCTGGTGCTCCGATTTCCATCGCTTGTCCAGTGATCCAGGACACGTGACTTGAATAGGTGCGACTGAGCCAATTAGGAGTAACGCAATTATGAAGCCCGAGAGCATATAGACCAAGTTGAAAGGCGCACATGTGTAGAGCTCTATGTGGTCCATGATGATTCTGACTTGTGGAGGCTTGTGTAAACAGAGAGGTAGAACTACTGCCTCCAGCTTTTGTGAGAACAGTCTTTGCCAATTCACACATGAAATATGTACTCGCTTCCGATGGCTGGTTAGGGAGTGATGGATATACTCTCTTGCTTTTATACCTGTTAAAGTTTGACAAAGTTCTAGATTTATTACATCCTTTTACCGTTAATCTAATCTACATCGTCTAGTTGAAGTATTGAAAAATTATCATTTAGAAAAGGTGCGAACCTTATTTCCTTAGTTCGAGTAGGCACCGGTTGTTGGACGATTTGCGGTTGAACTGTGAATGTACTCATACCAGTTTCCAATTCCGCACTGGTGCTGCTATGTGGTCTACTGCTTGTACCAACGACGCTATCGCCATTTCCAGCATCTGTTCCAGCAAGAGGAGAAGAGCATTCTTCGTCATGTAGATATCTTGTCATCTGAAACACAGATAACTCGTTTAACTCAATGGAACTCAAGAACAAATGCACTTTCTCCTATTAGAAAGTTATCAACTACTAAATTTGAAGAATTATATTCCTGACCTCGCTCTTAGTCGGAGGATTAGAGGTGTAGTAACTACTTAGAATTGGCGACTTGATCAACTGATGAACATCTCGATCCAATAATTTATCCATAATTCTAGCCACCTTCGTAGGCTCATCCTTGTAGTGGACAAGCAGCGTAATAGCCAAATCTCCTCTAAAATAACAACACCAAAATATAATACAGCAAATAATAGCGATTTTCAATTACGAAATTCAAAGAAAGAACTGACCGACCAAATTTAAACGAATCATATCGAGTACTGTAAAAGATAAATAATGTACCTCTGGCGTCTAGTTCCTTCGCAAAGAAGAGGATGATCAGCCTCGCTCACGTTTGCCTTTAAGCCCAGGGCAGCCACAGCAGCATCGAATCCAAGGTTCTCGTCAGCTTCTGAAGACAGTTGTTTTACTCCTGCGAATCATTTCACTATCTTTTACACGCTATCTACGCTATTCAAATACTAACTTTTTCTTGTCTAAAATAAAACATATTTCACTGTCGAGTCGAGTTATTCGAGGGCTTTTTACTGGAGTAAATTTCAAAAACATTTATAATATAATTACATTATAAAGTGCATACTTAACGTATTAAGGGCGTCGAATATGAAACTAGCCAACATAATCGGTAGCAGTGCATGACCTCTGGACCTCAGTTGTCCGTCTCTGAGTTGCTCTGCTCTCTGTCTAACCATGGCCAGTTCCGCTGGACCAAGTGGGATCTTCTTCAATAGGCCAACCAGTTCGCTCTCTTGATGAGCCAACTTTACCTGAAGCATTAAAGATATCGTAGTCTATCTATTATCGTTTTGATACATTAACTCACCTCCAATGGTTTCGTGTTAGCTGGTGGTCTAGCCATTTTCAATCCAAACAAGCCAACTCTAAACGCCAGATTGTAGTATTCCGGGTTTTCCGCAAGGACCGTGCATAAGAAGCAACACTTGGCCAACGTAGCAGATGCAAGGGATGTGAGTTGATGGGACACCGAATTGACTTGCTGCTAAAACATTGTCATTGTATCGATTATGCCCGGATCAGCTTTGACAATTGAAACGGGTCCTTACTGCAACGAACAAACGAACAAACCAAGTCTTTCCAATCTACCTTCTTCCTTTTCCTCTTCACTGGCGCCGGAGGTTCGTCGATCATGAGGTTTGGAGGATTAGCCAGTAGTTCCTCGCCAAGTTGAACACCCAAGATACAGGCTTCCCTAGTGTGACCATGGGCATAGAGTCCCTCGGCCCTAGCGAACAAGATGTCCCACGGATCTTCGGTCTTCATTAGATTACCCAACACTGTACTCGCGTTTGCAGTGGACGTAGATTGCGATTCGTTTTTGGAGTCCTTGCTAGAGGCACCATTCGTGTTTACAACTGCTTTAGGATCATAATAATAAACGTGATACTCGTCACCAGACGGACTGTCGCTACTCGAAGAAGAACTCTCGTCCTTGGAGGGCCTTCTGGAAGGATCCTTCTCCTGGTCGGATTCTTGTTCGTTTTTGGAACTGTTCCCTTTAGGCAACACCGTTCGCGATTTCGCTCGGTAGTCGAGATTCGTCCTGCTGCACTTCGCGTCGCAGGCAGCTTTGTTATTACTACTATCACTACTATCACTATGGGTCTCGGACGATGCGTTTGAGCGGTGCTTGTCCGAGCCTTGAGCGTTCTTCAGACTGACGTTACTATTAGAGGACGATTCGCTGCCACCACCCTCCTGCAATTTTTAACAACGGTACCTTTCATGAACCCTACTACAAACAGGCGTAATACAAACAAATCATACGAGGCTAAATCGTTCTTAAACCAACCTGCGAGTCTGTGTCCCCGCAACTATTTAAATGAGTGCAAGATCGTCTAACGAGAACTACTTGGGGCTCGGAAATATCAGGTATGTCGGTCTCGTTCTCGCAGAAACCTTCGGAGCTGACGCTGCTTCGATTCCCGTCGCCGCCGCCGCCGCTTCGTGAACACAATCCTGAACACTCTCGCGGGTTCAGTCGTCTTCTGTCCATGTAACTAAACGCTACCAAGCCTAAGCTCAGAGGTCTTCGACCATGATGATGGGAAATGGGCGGCTGACAATTTAAAACGGCTGCACTCGAATTGACCTGGAAGATCAAACAAATCCATCTATCACTGACAAATCGAGCATCATTTTTGGAGTCAAATGGAGCCTGCTAGAAGCAAACTTTTCTCACGAATCTGCTTTACTCTCTATCATAAAAGTTGACTAATCCGAGAAAACGGGGCTTACTAATGAACTGACCTGGTTCACCTCGGTCCTGGTATCGCCAACATGCCGGAAGCACGTGAATGGACAATGATACATGGGATTGCTTCCGGCGGTGTATGTTATACCCGGCAAGGTGTACTCCTCCCAATCCAGATAGCATGCCTCGAGCGCCGATTTGAAGCCGGTGAACACGGCCACATCGTTCTTCAATGAATCCTTGTGACCACCACTGTTGTTCCTGTTGTGTGAGTTGTGTGAGTTGTGCGTCACTGAGCTCACTCGACTTTTCATCACCTGCAGGACAAAATGGCGGAACCTATCAACGTCTGTTTACATCCAAAGACACGCACCTTGGATCAGAATTAACCCTTTGCACTCGGCGATTTTTTGGCTAAAGAAGAGCAAGAGTTGGAAGATTTCCTGCTATAAAGCTGACGATACTTTTCTCAGCAGTAAATAAAGAATAGCGTAATAATAGAATTGTAGAATTATTTGATTTCGATACCTCGCACACCGTTACATTATCTTACATTTCATATATTAATTAATATCGATCTTCGAAATTTTATCAAACGGTGACTGAAAATGGCGGCTCTCGAGTGCAAAGGGTTAATATACCTACAGATAAATCGACAAATTTCTAACAATGATAACCTCGATGCAGGAATTACATAGAATTCGTCCAATCTCGCGATTCGTTTCAAATCTACACGACCATCTAGACAGCAGGTTCAACGATACCCTAGTTCTTTCGAATTAACCATAAGACCTCCCACAAAGACCTCGACTGGAGATTCGAAGTTAGACGAAGCAGACCACACCGAGCGAGGCCATAAATTACCGTTTACGACCCTAATTATACAAGTGCATATACCTTATCGATGACCTTCATATGCCAGGCAGTAAACTGGCCATGAAGCATCTCCCGTTCATCAGGCGATAATCCAGGATTCAAGAGGGAGGAACAGGCGTGCTGCGAGGCGTGCACGTTGCTGTTCATGTTGTGCTTACCACCGTATCCGGTCCCGTTCAACAAAGCTACCTTAGTGTTGAACCACCAGACGAGGATCTGCTCGCAGGCCATGCACTCCTCTGTGATGATCTCCAACAATGGTATAGCGTTGCGATCGGTCCTCTTGAACATCTCACGCACGATTGACAGCAAGTTCCACATCCCTTCCGGTTCACGACCACGCAACGGTCGCAGCAACGAGGACCACTCGGCAGCTGCAGGAGGCGCAGTGGTGCTCAGGTAATTAACATCGCTGAAACATATAAAACAAATATATCAAATTCATACCATCGAAAACAGAGAGGTCCAGTTTACGTGTCAACGGTGTACGCTTGCCTACTTGTCAGAGGCACCATTCCTG